CTGAGAATCACTTGAGTCCATGAGTCACTTTTCTTCAATTAATCACGAAAAAATCAGATATGGGACTTGGCTTAAGTGGTACAATGCTTGCCTTGAGCAAATGCTAAGTATTAACAAGCTGGAATTTATAATTTAACACCTTGCATTAAACCAATATACAAAAAGAAGATACTAATCAGCATGACTTAGCAGGGTATATATAAAATTCATTAAATTCTTATCAAGTTATTTTTAAGAATATTTGAAAAGCCAACTATTGCTTGAGTGGAAATAAGCCTATTTCAATATTTCCTTCATTTTGTGCCCATACTGGAGTTTGAATTCAGGGCCTAGGCAATATCCACTAGCTTTTTCCACTCAAGTTTGGAACTCTACCACTTAAGGCACAGCTTGACTCCTGGCTTTTTTTTATTATAAAGGTGATATACAGGAGGGTTAGTTACATAAGTCAGGTAAAGAGTACATTTCTGTTTGAACAATGTCACCCCATCCTTTGCTTTCTCCCACTTTTTCCCTCCCATCCCCATACACAAGTTATATAGTTTATTTTAACATTAATACCTGATACCTGCATGAGAATGTAGGGAGAGTTCTGAGTCACTAGGGCTATCAACTGCATACTGTCCTATAGGCTCCTAATCTCTGCTGAATGCTTAACTGGAACTGTCTACTCTTGCCTGGAAGACTCTAGATCACACTTATCACAACTCTTTCCTTACAATGTGCAGACAGAAAGAGTAAACTTAGTCCAAAGTAGAGTTGGCACACATGCAGTAGGTATGAATAAGCCATGGCCTCTCTTATAATTAGAGGAAAGAATAAAAGGATTATGGTGGTGGTAGTATGTGGTGTCAGTTGTGAGTCCTCAGGAAGCAGCCTGTGAGAAAGTCACCACCACTGATTTATTTAGTCTTCTCACTGCACTTGTGAGTTGATTCCTGTAGACAGGCATCTCTTTCTGGACTTTCTCTTTTTGTACTCATTCTGTTTATACTCATTGTCACAGTTACGAAACACTGGCATTAAAGAAGCACAGAACATCTCCAGTGTTTAACAAGTTTAATGAGAAGTTCAGGAACCCAGGAGTGGGATTCATGATTTGGATTCATGTGATGCTCTCAGAAGATTCTGATGTTCAAAATACATTTATATCACCAACTTGGTGATATAAATTTATATTTCTTATTTTCTCAAAGACAAAAGGGTCTAAAAGGACAGAACTGTCTGAAAAAGACTGAAACACAGTTCCAATTGGAACCAAGACCTTGGAGCAGGGGTTTACAGACCACTGGGCAATCAAAACAGATGAGTCAAAATGTAATTGATTTTGATCATCCTATACAGGGAATTGGAAAGATTGTTTTACATTTTTAGCTTTGTAGAATCACAGAACTTTCCCATTGTTTACCAGAGCAGTTAATAGGAACTTTGTGAATTCGGGAAGGAGATTCAGGAATTAGTAACATTTAATGTTCTCAGAAGGTTCTTCTTTCAAAAGGATTCATATAACCTAGGTGGTTAATATACCCATTTTCTCAAGGATAAAAACTGACCCAAAGAAAGTAATGGGCTGAAAAGGACTGAGGCTCAGCTTTGGCTAAATGCCATGCATTTAGGACCAGGGTTCTAAGGTCTACTGGAAAGTCAAGGCATATAAATCAAAATGTCCTGATCCTAGTTATCCTGTGCAGAGATTAAGAGAGCTATTTTGGCGATCATTTGTTAGGAAGGGTTCATTATACCCCAGAATCAACAGAATTTAGAAGAAGAAATAAAGCTGTACTAGAAGAGATAAAAACATGATGAAATGCATCTAAAAGAAAGTAATGTAATTAGAAGAAAAGGAAGACTTACAAGGCATACATTAGAATAAGGCATACATTAGAATAAGGCATACATTAGAATACTAAGGATAAATCCTTTCACTTTCAAATAGCATGTATTTCCTGCTATATAAACTGTTAAATTGATGAGACTGAGGTATGTTAAAAGTTCAGATAGCTCAGTACTTTCTATAGTCTATCACTTCAATGAGTATTTTATACATATATATGTATATACTTTGATATATGTATATATATGAATATATATGAAAGCCGAAGCACTAATTCCCTGTAAATTATTCTAGAAAAATAAATCCTTCCAAATACAATTTCATCAAAAGACTTCCAAAACCAAATCTAATAGCACATAAAGATAATTCACTAGAATCAAATGGGATTCACCAATGGAATGTAAGGATGGTTCAACATATGCAAGGGCAGTTCAATAAATGTGATCAACCACATCAATTGACTTAAGAAAAATACATGATTTTCTCAAACAAAACACACTTCTGATAAAATTTAACATCCCTTCATGATAAAAAGATACTGGGGAGGGGGGAAAGGGGGGGAGAAGAAGGATTGGGATTGGGGGGGAGGGGGGAGGCTGGGAAGGGATGTGAAGGGTAAACAAAGGAGGAGGCTGCAATGCTTGGTAAGAAATGTACGCATTAACCCCTCTGTACAGTATGTTCACAAATAAAATAAAATTAAATTAAAAAAAGATATTTGCGAAAGAATATCAAAAACAATGATAAAATTATGACAACTGAGGAAGAAAAAAAAGAAATAGGATTCTAAATAATGGCAATATTCTTACTCAAGTGGATTGATTTTGGTTAAAGGGGTTGTTTGATCTTTTTTTCCTTTTGGGTTTTTGAAACAAGGTCTTACTAGTGAAGCACAGGCTAGCCTCAAAATTCACCGTCCTCCTTCCTCAGCTTCCTCAGTGATGTGATTCAGGCAAGCACCATTTTATTAAGAAAGGAATATTTCTAATTGAGATTTGTGAATGTAAATCCTGGGTTAGTAAATAACAAGTAAATTATCTCATGGTAACTTATATCTGATCAATTGAAACCTCGGTAATTCTAAACACATAAATTGAAATTCTTTAAGCAATGTACTCACCAAAAATTGTCAATTTTTCATTTAAACAAAGAACAAGAAGTCATTAACTCAATCATACACATCATACTTTAGAATTTGTGGCCAATGACCTAAGACAGAATGAACACAACTTGTAGGGAAAGTAAATAAAAACTAAAATATCAGTATTGATGAAAAGACAATATAGAAAGTACAGTTTTCAAAACAATTTTTATTAACCATAATTGCTATTTTACATATAGTTTGTTGACAATACATTTTCTCTGCAAAACGAACAGCAAATAAAAGTATTCACAATGTTTTGTAAAATTGTAATCTGGATATTCAGTATATTTGACATAAGATAATGCTGCTTAAATATCAACACAAAACGAAGTTCATGAAAGACTACTCAAAAAAACCTGAAAAAGAACTACTGTCCACGAATACCACTGATGCTAGCAAATTGAAGCTCATTGCAGCAATATACACAGCTATGGGAAAGCCCAGATGCTCAACAACTCTACAGTTAGAGAATCTATCAAGAAAATGTGATGTTTACACACAATGGAGTAAAGAAAAATGAAATTTTCATTATTTGAAAGGAAAATATGGAATTTGAAAATATGTTAAGCAAAGCCAGTAAGGTTCAGAAGTACCAAAAATCTTGCATCGTTTTGCTCATAGGTGGATGCTAGGATATGAAACATAAATACACAGAGGACCATATGTATGTGTGAGTGTGTATGGAAGATTTCTAAAAGGAGATTTATGAATGTGTCCAAGTTAAACCTTGGGTTAAAAGAAAGTAAATGGTTATCGCAGTGTTAAGATATCTTTCTAGAGGTATTGCTTTGCAATTGTGGGCTCCTGGAGGGGATGAGAGGAGGTAAAGAGAATGCTGGAGGGGGAAAAATGAAATACATTGCATCTGTGATAGAGATAGAAAAATGAAACCAATAAAAAGCTGTTGAAGCCTAATAAGTTACTGGTCATAGGGCAAGTAGGCATGAGGAAATTAATCTAACTAAAATATTAAAATAATACATGTATATATAGATATGTAGGCATTTATATACATATTTATATATACATATATGAAATACCAAGTGAAACCTCTGTAAGCAGTTAGCATACACTAAAAGAAATAAAAGATGGGAATTAAAACAGATCCCTCAGGAATGTGGGCATTAGTGGGAGAATGGGGAGGCAACAGAGAAGTTGAAAGGGTGAATATTGCAAAATAATTTTTGTTTGAAATGCACATGTGTGAAAATGAACAATGAAGCTTACTGAGACTGTTTAGGAAATGGGGTATGGGAGTAAGGAAAAGTGATGGAGGTAGTAAAGCTCCAATGTACAATGCCTGTATGTACTGTATGTCAAAATGAAACTGCCTCCTATAATTAATTGATGGAATTCAAAAGGTTGGAAGCTCCCATGGCTCTTAGTTATAATCCTAGCTTCTCAGGAAGCAAAGATAAAATGATTTCATTCAGTAAAGTACATGTGCCTCCATCTCCAAAAGAAATAACAAAAGCAGAGCTGTAGGTATGGCTCAGATGGGGGAGTACTGGCCACCACAAAGCCCAGATTTCAAACTATGGCATTGTCAAAAAATGTAAGAAAAAAATTAAAATGATAAGTTGGAACTCATTGGAATGTCTCCTTTTTAACTCAACATGTGAAATTAAGAATTTTGTTTTGAATATTCAAAAAAATTGACTATACTTGTCAAAACTACAATAATTACTACAAACCTGTAATCTGCAAATACAAGCAGACTTAATGTATACTGCAAAAATCAATATGCCATTTCAAAGAATTGTGATGTCTCAGATTTAGAATGTTTAAGTATCTGGTAATCACTAAAGGCTCTAAAATAAAACAAAAAAAATGTCTTCAGGGCTGGGGTGTAGCCCCAAGGCCCCAAGTTCAAACCCCAGTACTACAAAAAATAACCCTCTAATAATTTGGTGCTACTGAATGAGTAGTTGTTGTTATTTCTATGGGGATTTTGATTTTGACTAAGAATTTGATTTTGGCTTACCCAAAGTAGAAGTACTGGGTCATTTTGAAATTTTCCTTTTAATTTTGAGGGGGAGATGGTTCAAAGTCAGATGTGTTCACCGTAATGGATGATGTGGTCATTGATCCTGGCTGAAAAGGACCCAGGGACACTTGAATAACAACTTGGGTCTCAGGAGGCAATCCTTCTAGTTGCTTAGGCTTCTTAAACATTTGGTGACACTGGGTCTTGTGCTGTATTTTCTCCTTGAAAGTCAGAAACTGCAGCCTACATTTAGAACACTGATGAGCACACCTTTCCCAGTGCCCCCTATAATGACACGTGTATGTTGGTGCCGTTCTGAAAATTCTGAGACAAAACAGACAGAGCAGATAGTTAGTGTTTGCATGGCGCATTTTAAAATGTGTTATCACATCATCAAAGATTGATGACCTATACTTGCAAACCTGACACACATAAGGCATCTCCCCAGGCTTATGATTGTCCTTCATGTGTTGTAAGAGAACTTGATCTGTTTCAAATGATAGTTCACAGATTTTACAGACATCAGAGTGTTTCTGAGGAGAGTGCACTCTGTCAATGTGACACTGCAGCTGGAAGGGCAAGGGGAATTTTCGGTGGCAGTGCTGGCAGGTGATATCATTTTCCCAGTTGTCACTCTGCTTTTCAAGTTCTAAATGGTGCCTCATATGATTCATAAACTTCATATTTTTTAGAACTTTCTGGCATCTGGAGCATTTAAAGTGTATGAGAGTCTTTGGTCCTGCACGCCCATGACCCTTATGACGTCCATAGTAGAAATCATCAAGTAACAGTGTCAGTTTTCCTTTCTTGGGATCTGAGATCTTGTTCTCATGTCCTTGGCTTGATAAGTCTGTTTTTGCCAATCCATTTTCTCCATCAAGGTTTATACTGATTGGTTTGAAATGGACACTGTCTTTTGGAAAAGCTGTGGATGGTCGACTCTGAGCAAGACTTAATGAGGCATGAACACCATTTGAGGGTGGATTTTGCTGAGGATTCACTGTATGAATATTGCCTGAAAGAGATAAAGCTGACTTTCCTTTGTGTCTATCAGTACGTTTAGGCCTTTTGGGATTTATGCTACTTCCTTTAGAAGTGGAACCTCGGCGCTTTGCCACACGAGGACGTCCAGTCACACCTTTTACTGAAAATGCTGCTCCTTCTGGCTGATGGCATGAACGTGGGAGCGTAACCACAGGAGAACATTCTGAGGACCTACCAGGCATGACTTGTGGTGAATCATTTTTATAATGAGGTTTACATAACGGCTTAGTAATAACAGGATTTGCTGTTCTTGATTCAGATTGTGATCTTGCTTCTGCTGAAGGGTTCACATAACTTGTAGGCTGCAATCTGAGTCCAGTATCTTTTCTTAGGTGATTACACATTTTTCTCTTTGACCCTGGGTTGATTCTGTTCAAAATATTGGAAATGACTGGTTTTGAATTTGAAATTACCCCAACAAAGATCACTTCATCCTCATCCTCTATTTGTTGGGTTGCTTTTGAGCTTTTCTGTAGCTCTGCATCTTGTTCTTCCTCACTTAATATATATAGTTGATCCATTTCTTAATTTTTTTTAAACTCGTGCACAGTGCCTTTATGTAAACTGTCACCTATGTAAAAAGAGAGTACACATCAATTAGTATATAAAATGCATTCTTTTATTCAATGTTCTCCAAATGCTGAGGTAATTGTAATGTCTGTACTTTACAGGGAAGTATACTGAGGATTAAATGACAGCTTAAAAATTAGAAGTGATGGGGTACTAGTGACTCATGCATGTAATCCTAGCATTTCAGAAGGCTGAGATTTTGAGGATCCTTGTTTGGAAGTCAGCCCAAGCAAGAAAAATTGTGAAACTTTTATCTCCAATTAACCACCAAAAAAGATGGAAGTGGAGCGGTGGCTCAAATGCTAGAGTGCTAGCTTAAAGGGAATAAAAACTCAGGGACAGAGCCCAGGCCCTGAGTTCAAGCCTCAGAATTGGGTATTGTTAGCCACTATCCAGGTCTGATATTGGAGGTCTCAATTTAACCTTTTGCCTTTGTAAAGTTAGGGATAACATCATGTTTCGTTCTTCAGGTACCCTCATGAAGTGGAAAATGATATAGTCAACCAAATTATAAGGGATCTGAGTGTAGTAAAAGGAAAATATATTCCATAGAGGCCAGGTAGGTAGTATCATATATCTCCATGTGACTTGTACCCCTCTGATACTTGAATGCCCCCAGATAAAAATCCAAGTAAAGTCTTTTCATAACATCCCTATTTTGCTTTCACCTAATAGTATAAAGAGATCACGCCACCTCCTTTTGTTAACAATGTTACTAGTCTTTTCACACTCTACAATGAGGTTTACCTGTGGGACTAAACACAGTATAAATGATAGTTTATTATTTGTGAAAATAGGCTCTAAGACTTTCACATGAAGGGAAATTTGGTTGCATCAGGCATCCCTGCCCCCCATCTCCCTTACCCTGGCTCCAGTCTCCTAGCATGAACTCAGGATGTGGGCACTGTCCCTGAGCTTCTTATGTTTTGGAGTGGTGTTTGTTTTCATGCCATCCTAGAGGTTGCACTCAGGACTCTGGTGCTGTCCCTGAGCTTTTTTGCTCAAAGCTATCACTCTACCACTTGACCCATAGCTCCACTTCTGGTGTTTGTTGTTGTTGTTGGTTCACTAGAGATAAGAGTCTTATGGACTTTCCTCCACAGCCAGGCTTCAAACCATGATTCTCAGATATCACCATCCTGAGTAGCTAAAATTACAGGTGTGAGCTACCAGAACTTGGTGAATCAGTCATCCTCAAGAAAGCTGGCTACCATGACATGAACAGCTTCATAGCCCAAACAAATCAACAAGGAGGCCTCCTGTCAACAGCTGATGAGTGAGCTTAGAAATTTCTCATTCAATCCTGGTCCTATCTCCAATTGGTCCTATCTCAACCAATACCTTGACTCTAACTTCCTGATATCTCTTGAGCCAGAACAAGCCAGCCAAACGACATTTGGATTCCAGACTTTCAGAAACTATGAGTCTATCATTCTAAATTGTTACTTTTTTATAATGCTTAACACATAGTTCTTATATATTCACAATGTTTGAGCACACTATATATAATCTTTACTAGATTAGAATTCATTCAGATCATCTTCCTTGTCCGCTCTTATTTTACTCTATATGACACAGTTTTTAACAAAAAGTGTATGAACTAGAAGGAATATATGTCATCATTATAGAGATACCTATGAACTAATGTTTATTAAGCACTATTCACAAGAACTAAGTTATGGAATCAGCTTAAGTGCCTATCAACAGATGAATCCTAAAATAAAATGTGGTACATACACACATCTATGTTGTTTACTTTTATCTTTCAAGATCTCAGGTGAATGAACATTGTCACAGCCAGTCCTTCCTTTATTTAAGGAAATAATTTAAAGGAGTTCAGAATTACTTAGTAGTTGGTCTGAATTATACACATTCAAATTCCTTAAGGAACCCTATAACAGCAAAGATTTAGCTCAAGAGAGTATCAGAGGAAAGTAGCAGGAGAAAGGAGACTATATACTTTATTATAGTGATCTCTAGCTTACCTCAGATGTCCACTGAAACTTGCAAGAACTTGAAAAGTTTGCAGACAAGTGAAGGTCACATTCTTAGTTATTTACACAGTAGACTGTATGTGTGTGCATGTGTGTGCTGGACCTGGGCTTTAACTCAAGAGCCTGGGTACTGTTCCTGAGCTTTTTAATCAATGATAGTGCTCTACTATTTGAGCCACAGGTCCATTTCCAGGTCTTTTGTGATTAACTGGATGGAGATAAGTCTCATGGCAGCCTGGGGTGCCTCTGAAGCATGATCCTCAGATCTCCTGACTAGTTAGGATTGTAGGCTAGAGCCACTGGTGCCCCACGACTAAACAAAACAAAAAAAACAAAAATCTTTAAAAGTTTGTGGCTGCCACCCTCTAGAATAGGAGCAGGGCTGGAATTACAAAACTGGAGCACGCTCTCTCCACGCATGTACTCTTCCCCCGCCCTGACACCCCCATTCACAGCCCCACTTCTGGCTTTTTTTTCTGGTTCACTAGCGATAAGAGTCTATGTACTTAACTGTCCTTCTAAACGTGATCCTCATCTCTCAGACTCCTGAGTAGCTACGATTATAGGAGCCACCAGCACCCATCTTCCATTGTTTTTCCTTCTTTTTTTTTCCCCTTCTAAGTCAGGGCCTCACTATGGAGCCCAGGTGGCCTGAAATTCAAGATCCCCAGTGCTGAGATTACAGGTATGCCCCACATAGCCAGACTCTGAGTTAATGATATTTACCACCACAAGATGAGACAGTCTGGCTTAGGCCAAGCGTCAGGAGACAGGTGATCTCTTCCTGAGGCGATCCTTGCCTGGACGGAGCAGAGTCCTGAGAAACAAAGGACAGAAACGTTGGCAGAGGAGACTGTGAGGAGGCGTGATCCCGGGTGCGGCCTCATGGCCACCCCTTCCCCCCATATCCCGCCCTCCTCACAGGACAGGCCACTTGGGCCCTGCACTGACAGCATGTGAGGCATCCTGACCCAAGGAGCTGTGGCCAGCGACCCTCCCGCCTCCCCGCACCTTAGGGCCGCTCCACACCTTGCCCTGGTCCTCTGGAGCCCTAGTTGTTAAGGCACTCCGCAACAACGCCTAAGTCTAGAATCTTCCTCAAACCCTTGGCGACTCACTATGGCTTCTCTGCCGCTTGCGCCCAAGCCACCTGTGATTGGCTGCTGGTTGTAGACGCACGTATGGAGGGCGGGACTCCAGACGCTTCCATCTGATAGGTCATGATGACTGTCACTGAGAACAGAGCCTGCGCTCTGGGCCTCAGTCAGGGGAGATACAAGAGCAGATGGCCTTGTGCCTTTATGGCCTTGGAGCTTGGGCCCTTGAGCCCTAATCAATCCCTACTCAGTTATCAGCCTCACGAGTAGCTAGGATTACTGGTGTGAGTCACCACACTAACCCTTCCTTCCTTCCTCCTGTCTCTGTAGATATGCTCTGTTGGGTCTCCATATTTATTTGGCTGTACTTGGTTTGTGTACATCTGGAATTTGAGACGTGGAGAGGCTCAGGTAGGAGAATCTCGAGTTCCAAACTAACCTGGAGGCTGTCTTAAAGAAAAAAAGCAAAAGAAAAGCCGGTCTCTATAATCCTAGCTACTCCGGAGGCTGAGATCTGAGGATCAAGGTTAAAGCCAGCCTGGGCAGGAAAGTCCGAGAGACACTTATTTCCAATAAACCACCAGAAAACAAGAAGTGATGCTGTGGCTCACGTGGTAGAGCACTAACCTTGAGCTGAAGAGCTGAGGGGACAGCACTCAGGCCCAGAGGTCAAGCCCCACAACCAAAAGAAAAAGAAAAAGAAGCCAAGTGCCAATGGCTCATGCCTGTAATCCTAGCTACTCGGGAGGCTGAGATCTAAGGATCATGGTTCAAAGCCAGCCCAGGCAGGAAAGTCTGTGAGACACTTATCTCCAATAAACCACCAGAAAACAGGAAGTGGTGTTGTGATTCAAGTGTTAGAGCACTTGTTTGAGCTCAGGGATAGCACCCAGGCCCAGAGTTCAAGCCCCATGAGTGGGGGCGTGGGGGGCGGGGAGAAAAGAAAAAAAATCACCTCATAACCAAAGTCACCCTGGGCTCAGGGCTAGGTTAGGAACCAAGGCCACTGGGTAGCATGCACACAAGAGCAACAACCACTATGTGGAGTCATTTACCTTGACCTGCAATTGACCCTTGGGCTCGATTTACCTGAAACTGCATCTGAGGTCTTTCACTGACTTTCTAGCTGTGTTTTTTGATGTAGGAGCATGTGATTAATTGCACAAAACCATATGCAATATTTGTGTGTATATTTAGAGAAAATTGCTTATTTTTGGTTTCTTTGAAAATTTGAATTTTTATGTGATCATGCAAGTGATGGAAAGACAGCTACAGTCAGTGGCCTTGATGGTAAGAACCATTTTTCTGACCTTAGCACAAGTTTGTACTTCCTCCCCTAGGGGACCAATCAATTATCTCTCTGGAACACTTATCTACTCCCCACCCAGACTTCTTAGAAACAGCTTCTGGCTCCCTGTGAAAGAAAAATTGACTCTTGTTCACCTAGTCCCCAATTGTTGAGGAGGGAATAAAAGGAGACTCCCCCTGCCCCCACCAAGAGCCAAGATAGATAACCAGCTCTGGGCTATTTTTCAGGGGTGTGTGTGTGAGAGAGAGACAGAGACAGAGACAGAGAGAGTGGAGAGACAGAGACAGAGATGGGTGAAGGAGAGAAGAAAGAGAAAGATTGGGGGAGAGAGACCCCAGGGGCTTGAAGTCAGGGCGTAGGCGTTGCCCCTAAGCTTTTTTGCTCAAGGCTGATGTTCTACAACTTGAGCTGTTGCTCCACTTCCAGCTTCTTGATGGTTGATTGGAAATAAGAGTCTCAAACTTTATATTTACCCAGGCTGGCTTCAAACTGCAATCCTCTAATCTCAGCCTCTTAGAAGCTAGGATTATAGGTGTGAGCCACTGGTGTTG